TGACTCTTTTGAAGTGTCATTTCAGAAATGTCACGCAGGAAAATTTCCCCGTCCTGGTTTTTCAGACGAACGGCGTAATGGTATAAACATCTATGAACTTCCACATCCGCAAGATCCTCTAAAAAGAATTTGCCGTTTGTTTTAACATTGAAGCTTTTGATTGATTTGTCTTGATGAAAAAGAAGATATATTACTTTTAGACTAGTGAATTTTGTGTATATGTCCCTTAATGTAAAGCTGCTGCTAAATCTTACTTGCAGGGTTTGAAGAAGCTGCACACAGGAGACGGTTATCCTGCGATTCTGAGCCTTTGATTCTATCCCATTCTTCAAAGACATGTAAATAAGTAGTCTCTTCAGAAAGGTTACTGGGGTTAACTGTAAATCTAAAAGTTGAAAACAACCATTACATCAAACGTGTATGAAACGTGGTGTGCAGTATGCTATTTGACGTCCTTAATACTTAGTCTAATTTTTTTTAATTTGAGGTACAAAAACACAAAAAGGGAAAATGACTAACTTGAAATTTTTGGACACCCACTCAAGCTTCCCATCACAGTCATGCTTTCCTCCGATGTAACACAGAGAACATATATGGTATTTGCATTTATTACATTTCCATAGTAACCCTTTGAAGCGTGAATCAGATTTTCTATCTGCCTCATTATTCTGAGAGGTCGATGGCTTACTGCATTCTGTACATTCATCGTTTCCCAAAAATCCTGCAAATAAAACATTAATCCATGTAAACATGCAGAATCAGAACCTCATATAGAAACTGAACACAGCAATATTTGAGCTCCCTCATCTCTTAAAATGTCAAGAAATCTAATGACAGAACTGAGCTTTGAAGATATTAAAAAAAATTGTTCGACTAGATAATTTTTCTGATCAAGTTCCTGTACCATCTTAAGCATTTATAAAACAAATGAAATAATTCATTACCATACTCAAAAAGATAAAGAGTATTGTGTTCTTTAGTATCCTTTGAATATGTTGAAACGTTGTAAAATTTCCTTTTGCACAAATCTCTCTTTGCGTCCCAGTGAATTCTGATCTTCAAATTGCTTTTCTGTTTAATATTTTAAAAAAAAAATAAACTAATTTCCCCAATGACATAATGTGAGACATATTTCAAATTTATTATGCATATAAAATGTAGTTTTTTCATGCAAAAAATTATTGTAAAGAAAAATGTTAAATGCGTCTTGATATATCATGCCATAGTATTAATCTTGAAGATTTTAAATTTCGTAAGGGTTACAGGTTAGAATTCTGATGGGTTGGTGTATTTTACATCAAGGTTTGGTGAAAAGTATAATTACATCATCGTCTATTTCTTTGTATGACACCACGGTTCCAGCTACATACTCCTTGCCTTCAAGCTGCATGATGACTCTTATTTCAGGTAATTTCTCTATCATGTCTACAACAAAATGTGAAAACATAACTAGATTGAGATGTCATCAATGTAATTTTTATTTTAATGTGCATTACATGTGCACTCGATTTAATCAGCACTTGATGTATCTTTATACCTAGAAAGGGTCTTTTTTTTTTAATTCTTAAAACCCCTGATTTTACCTCTGGTGAGCGGAGGAAGGATGTCGTTTGGCATTCTCTCAGGTAGACGAATTTTAATTGCCTTGGAATCCTTGTAATTTTTCATAATGGTCTTAGAATCTATCTCATTGTCGGGATTTTCTGCATCTTGAAATATGTATCTATACACATTTCCTTTCACAAATCCCACCACTGTGCCTTTATCATTGACAAATAAAACAAAATATATTTAAAATGTAGTGCTATGAAATGCTGCATATTTTGTTTGCAATTTTCAGTTTTATTCTATTTGTTTTCAAAAAGGTACATGCACGTGTTTTTTAAAATCATTATTTTATATTTCAATTAAATTATAATTATAATTGTTTACATGCTAAGTGAGACAAGTATTCTTTATAATTAAATAAATTTTAATGGTCATTATAATTTTCTCAAAAAAATGAACACACAAATAAAAAAAAATAATGATCATAATTATTCCAATACTTTAAATTAATTCTGCTTTCATTAACAATATAATACCCCATCCCCCACCCCCAACCCCCCGATTTTTACTTTATTAATTATACTTATATAACTTGGATGCACTCGAGAACCATGATAGCTTGGCATGAAATAATTCTTGAAAAGCTTACACCGCAATTGGTTAAGTAATTATTTGCTTTTTGATACGGAAAATATGTGAATGAGGAATTTCACGTTCATAAAATACTTGTATTTACTGGCTCTTTTAGGAAATACATGTAATTACTAAATAAACTTAAAAAATCATGTATTTGTTGAAAAGTTTAGCCAATTGTACACATTTTCACAAATTATACATACGTATAATCTAGTAAATGTATGAATGCTTTAAAACAGCGCTTCATAAATTTCTTTTTTTATTTCTTCAAATCATACAATAGACAATCGTCATAGATTAATTTTCGATTCTTGGCAAGATTAAGTGCACTGTCTGTCTAAAATTCCATTTCAAGCCATATATAGCATATCTGAGTTGAAAAATAATAATACGATATTGCTTGTCCACGTTATCTAAGTTCAAATTAAGATTTTCACCGATTTTGAAATCGACGTGTGTTGAATATTAATAAGATCCGCCACGCACATTGCTGCTGGAAAAAAACAACACATCCACGATGGAAAAAGAGGTATAAGTGTTTATATTACATAATTGTCTCTTTACTTCTCTCCATATCTGCCTATCTATTCCCTGGTCAGGTTTTGATCCAAGTTTTATTTACATGTAGTTTCGTAGAATGATAAAATTAATACTGTAAATATACACGTAGTCATAATTCTGTTTAAACCACTGGTAGAAAAAAGACTACTTTATCTAAGATTGTCTATACGTTTTCAATGTAGGCTGGCACAAAGTTCCGCAAAACATTTGCGACGGCTTATATAGCTTTAATTAATACAACGCAGGAAAAATGTAATTCTAAAGTACGTGTAAAAGCAGAATTATTCGTTAGGGATTTAGTTTTGTTTATTTCGTTGTTAACAATTATGAACGAAATTAAATACACTACAAACTTTTTGATGACTATATATAGAATATGGTTACTATCGAAACAACGAAATTAAATGCACATAAAACCTTCTAAGATGACAAAAGAAAGAAATTTTATTCTTACAAAAATTTATGCTTCTACAGTATACTAAAACGCGAGAGTATGAGCTTATTTACCTTGCGTGTTTTCCTTGTGTAAATCAACCTTGCTTCCAACTATAATACCTCGGACTTCTTTCCGTTTGCCATTTTTCGCACTCTGAGACCGACTTGGCATATCAAGACTTGAAAAAAATCATATGCACATAATTAATGTAAAAGGTGAAAATAACGAGCACCGATCAATCTATAAAAAAAATGCAAAATATACGAAGAGGGCATTAAACTCTGACCTCTGGAAATTCAAGACGTGGGATCAGGTGTCAGGTATAGTAAGGATCCCCTGTTAGCCGGTGAAAGGCGTGTCATATGTATTAATCAGGTCAACTTTCCTTTGTCAATTTCAATATAAAAACAAAGGCCTAACAATGGGTATGGGTCAGCCAAAATACGACCCATTAAAACAGGAAGGTTATATTTGCCAACAAGGTCATTATACCAGGGTTCTCCGTGAGCCGTCATAGTTAAGATATTAGCACCACATTTAGATTGTCGTCGTACGATAAATGAATAAAAGTATAAATTAAATGAACCTGTTAATTATGTATCTTTTTTCAGTTTCTAATGCTAAACTGTTAATTTACTCTTTTAGGGGTTCATTGTTTGGCTTGCTAAATTTTATATCCACTTTTAGACCTCGCTGGACACATGGATAAAAGAGACAAGCCATTTTTGCACACTTATTTACAAATGAAGTTTTAAACATCAATCAATTTATGCTTTAATAGTTCTACATATGAACACGTCTCTCAAAGAACTGCGAACAAAAGTGTTTTTTCCCGCCTACCTCCAAGTCGATTTTCAGAAATAATTACATTAAATGATTTTTTTATATTTATATAGATATTTTTATGATTTTTCATACAACATTACTTATTTAGGAAAATTAAGATAGATAACTCCATAATTTTAGTAAAACTTGTGATTTTATGCCCCTGTATTCGAAGATTCGGGGTAAATATTTTATGCCCTGTCTGCCCGTCTGACTGTCTTTCTAGCTGTTAATCTGTTTGTCTGTTTGTCCGCAAAAACTTTAACCTTGCCCATAACTTTTGATTGGTTGGAGTTACGGCTTTCATATTTCACATGTGTATTTCTTGTGGCAAATCCTTTTTGGGTACCAACATATTTGACCTTTTGACCTAGACCTTGGAGTTTGACCCACTTTAACAATAAAATTTCAAACTTTAACCTTGGCCATAACTTTTGAACAGTTGGTGCTAGGGTATTCATACTTCACATGGGTATATTTCTTGTTACAAGATCTTTCTAAGGATATAAATATTCTTGACAATTTGACCTTGACCTTTGAGTTTGACCTACTTTTAAAAAAACTTGGCATTAACCTTTGAACAGTTTGCACTAGGATCTTCAAATTTCACAGATGAATTCCTTTTGTCAAGACCTTTGTTTGGATACCAACAATTTAGACCTCTGACTTTGACCTTGGAGATTGACCTTCTTAAAAACCTAACCTTTGCAATAACTTTTGAACAGTTGGTGCTACGGTTTTTATATGTATATATATCTAATGACAAGGTCTTCGTCTGGGTACCATTAAGTTGATCCTTTGACCTTGACCTTGAAGTTTGACCCACATATTAAAAAGTTTAATTTTGGCCGTAACTATTGAATGGTTGTTGCTTAGGCTATTTTACAGGTATAATTATTGAAACAAGTCCTATTTTAAGTAACAATATTTTTCATCTCTTGGTCTTGACCTTGGAGTTTGACTTGCATCTGAAAAACTCTAACCTTCTTCAAAAGCTGCCAAACGGGGTCATCAGTGCTTCACAGACACATCTTGTTCACTATAGAAATCAGCGGAAAACAAAAAATATTTTAATTTGAATTCTTGGTTACGCTTTAAAACCTGATTTCAACGGATAAAATATTCTACTCCCACCCAACCACCCCTCATGAAAAGAGTTGTAATAAAAGGGAATTAATTTTTTTGACGCTGGTTTTAACATTATTAATCAATTACTAATGACCTATTATTTTCATTCCAAAAAGCTTTAATGGCCAAGATGCCATTTATTTCAAATAAGTTAGGGATAAAATGTAGAATTATAGCGTGCGTAGTTCTTTGGTCACGAAATGAGCGGGACTTAGCGTAAGTCTTGTGCCACAGTTAATTTTGAAATGACGGTGAACCCTGTTATAAAGACCATTGAATTAACGAAAAGGCAATTTAAACGAGGTTAAGCAATATTTATAACCAACGTATATAATAGAATAATATTAAATACTTTCACAAATAAAACCCTGAGCTTTAAATACCCGTTCAAGCCCTTGGTGATCAGCCTTTTATATATGTGATTACTGATTTCCTTGTCCGTCATGTAGCACGAGGTACACAGATTTGTGGCATTGCACGTGATACACGACCAGCGGATTCCGTGCAGGGGATACTCTTTACAGCCATCACACTGCATATCGTCCTCTCTGATAACTGCAATTATACAAACAAAACTATAGGATAAGAAGAATAATTGCAAAACATACATTCCTGTCTTGAAATAAAATACAACCAATGTCACTTTGCAGCAAGCAACATGTCCATTCATGTAGATTTTGTGTTGCATCCGTTTTAATAACAACAATGAAATTACATTATTCATCATGTAAAATCAATGAAAACACGAGAATTTAATTTCATAGGAAATTCTTGTAGCAATATTGTTACTTTTATCAAAAGATCTGCCTATAAAACATAAATATGTACTGCATGAAAACATATATAGTCGCCTATACTTTTAGAATAAAGTGGATAACTATATCTCTAACGTAGTTATAATTGAATAAAATCGTGCCTAGTAAATTAAGATACGTTATTTCATAGGTAATATGCTAAATGACACCATAATACGTACAATTGCATTCATATAATTGAAGTTCAAATGTGTCTGGTCCTATAACACAATATTCCTTCTTTCCATTGTCCCAATAAACCTCCACAAAGTTAATACCCTTTTCTTCTCTGTATTCTTGGATATGGAATCTTGTTTTAAATGCTGAAAAAATAAGTATAAATAAAATAGAAAAAACGAAAAGCAGCATTGAGAAACAATCTTTTTCTTTATCGTAGACATAAGAATTTGAATCATTTAAAGGCAAGAAAAGAACTAACGAAAAATTCACATCCAAGCCTTTTATTCACTAAGAAAGAAAATACAATACATATACCTTCAGCGCCTTCACTTGGAGCACGGACAGCTCTCTTTTCTTTCTTTTTCTCACTTTTGGTTGTAAACGCACAAAGCACTGGTTTTGCATTCTCCTCGAAGTCTACACGTAAAATTGTACCTATGTAGTTGCCTTCCACTGCAGTCAGTTTACCCTGGTCATAGCCTGGTCCTTTGACGACCCGTGTCCCTGGAGTCAAGGATTCTTTTTTGTGATAAAGAAAAATATATTATTTTACCACTAAGTAAAAATATTAAATGTAAATAATACCCTGTTCAAAAAATAAATATACGTATAGAGGAAAAACAAGGGACAAGAAATAGTAAGAAAATTATCTTGATTAAATTCGACTGGGTAACATGGTGGTTATATATTTATTATTTATTTATTTTAAAAAAATAATAGGTACATTGTATATGTATTAGATATATATACACGGCCATACAAAAGAAACGGAGATTTTTATGCAAGGTGAAAATGATAATTAAAATTCGTACCAGCGATGTTTGAATTATCATAGTAAGATTTATCGAAATATATACACATTAAAACATTATTTTGATTAAAATCGAATTTTACCGAAACACTTTCTTACTTCTGACAGGTTAAACCTTATGTACTTTCTTTTTACCTTTTCCCCCATATCTTTCTGATGTAACCTCGCCATCCACTGCAAGATTATCAAACGGTTCCGGCAATTTGTTGTCTCTATCACTCTTTAAAGAAGTGTATTATAAATTGCTGTTATAATTTCAAGAAAAAAAAATATCATTTAAAGATAATATGCTTAAGAGCATTAAATCCTGTCAAAAATATAGTGTGGTGTTTTTAAAAGTAAGGATTATTATAAAAAAAAAAATAAATATTTATTCCAAACACCTTAAATGATTTCATTTACTATTTGTGACAACGTAGAAATCAGTATTTTAATCAGATTTAGATATTTACATGAAACAAACATTAATTATTTTTTAACACAAAATGCTTGATAATGAATTTGCAAATTCAGCATAAGAATCAAAATTTTACTGAGGAAGATGATAATTAAATCAACAGGACATAAATTTTAAATGAAGGGCGTAATGAATGAATCCAGATTTGATAAATGTAGCTCAACAGACTATATTACATCTGGAATAATATGATTCAATGGACTATGGTTAAATATATTTCAAAGACATCTTGTATAGATATAAATAAATCTTAGTAAGGAAATATTTTTATGATTGATCAGAACATGATTTTATTATGATACATTTCTTATTCACCGTATGGATTTCTATTTGAATAAAAAAGGCACTCACCATCTTTAATGTTCCACCTTGGTTTCTGAAAGAGACTAGAAGGTATCATATCTCTTGAACCCGCAGCTGACATCTTGTATGTTTGCACCAGATAACATTAATTTTCTTCCAGTATATTGGAAATGAAGGGATTCATTGACAAAAATGGTACACAATAAAATGAATTGATATATTTTTTTGAGTTTATAGGTCAAAGGTAAGTGCACTGGAGCAACACAAAAAATAAAAAATCTTTAGCTGACACACTAGTACTGTTACTTTGATTTTGTCATTTGTAAAAAGGACCACTTATCATGCTTAATAACATATCTATTATTCTTTGGCCTTACGTTGTTGCTAATGCAATGCGATGTTTTTGTCGTCAAGCATTTCAGATTTAAATTTTGTTTGTTCAACCAGAGGAATGCCTTAAACATCTTAAATTTCTTACACAAAGATTACTATAGCAGATTAATTATTTGCATAATTGTGTAATATATAAGCAATAATCCTTTTTATTAATAATTCATTATGGATTGTACAGGAAGGAGAGCTGTTATTAATACTAAATATAAAATTGTAGTTGATATTACTTCACCTTTATAATATGTTACTTAAAAAAAGCTAAAAATGTACAAATTTAATGAAAAAATAAGACATAATCTTGGAAGCATTGTAGGTTACTCACCTTCAATTTTGCCTCATCACGGGATACTTGCATAAATGCATAAAATAAGATGCAACGAATTGTTAGTGGCCTTCTGCTCCGTAGTATATAAAGGTGTGGTACACAACGTGTTTAACTAATATTCGCTTTATATACATATTTTTTTTTGCATTTTTTCGAAACCATTCAGCTTTGCCCTTCTCGGATTATGAACAAACAACTTAATATTTCGTTGGGTAATACCATTCAATTGATGCATGAAATATATGGAGATATGGAACAGAATTCCGGAATAGGTATAAAAATGAATTACAGCCCTAAGAAAATTTTCAAAAGCGCTTTAGTATTTCGGTCTATTTTATAAGAATATTTGGAATATGTTCTAAACTTGTCTCACTAATACAGAGGAAAAGAGGGGTTCTTATCTGGTCGGTTATTTTTTTATGTTCATTTATTAATAAATTCATCTTTACTTGCCAAGGGTTTGTGAGGAGAGGAGCAGATCACAAACCCTTGGCTAGCAAAGATGTAATAGATTATAAGTTGACAGACTAATATTCAGAATATGTTCCCGACTTCTTTTCTAATAGTCACGATAAATTGTTGGGACTACTGTTGCCTGCTGCATGTTAACTGTACTCAACATATAGTACTTATAAAAACATGATCTAATAGAAGTTGTTAAACAAAGAGTTAAAATCTTGTTTGACTTTTGTATCTCTACATGTACAAATAAGAAATTCGCACCCCTTCAATCTTGACTCAATACTTGATTAAGATAAACAAAAAAATATGCACGCACCCATGTTAAGGCTCATAAATTGACGATTTTATATATGTAATAAAAAAAAATGTGTATGGCTGGTTGCCCAAACTTTTATTTCTTGTCTACAGGAAGAATCCTACCATGAAATGGGCTTTCCGATTTTTCAAAGTGACAGTACGACTACAAAACGTGTGCTTTTTCATTCAAATTTACCCAAATTATCATTAAGAAATAGGGTATAAAGTTAAAGTCTGCAATTTGAGAAATATAAATATTCTTTCCTCACACAAAATTTATGTAATTAGAGTCTGCCGGAAAATCATAGGTCGTACAAACTGGAGCAATCTTTAGTCTGTTTATTTGTACCACGCCAATTCTAAAATGGCTCGTACCTACACTGAAGAGTTTACAGTTACAATGGAATATGAAGTAAGAACAATTCTGAAAAGCAAAATAGCACAACTTTCAGATAAATTCATACTCCTGAACATTTTAGTTTACTTTCAGACGAATTTAAGGGAATTGAAAGTACAAATGTTGACATTTCGTGTATTGGTGTCCGAGAAAAGAAAAAACCCACTAAAACATACGCAAAACTTCAAACAAATATTTTTCTGCACAGTTCCACTAAAATTTGCACTTCAAATGTCAACAATGTTTATGTCATAAGTGTATTTTTATGTTGGGTTTACACTTACTTTTTTGTGTAAATGATGGGAAAATGAGAAATGATAACACGTATCAGCAAACCTGTAAAGTAGAACCTTCGCGAGCTCTGCGTGAGTGTCGCGAGATCCCGTTTCTTCTTCATCCAACGAATATATTAATCCCCCATTAAAATTTTAGTCAGAAAAGTTGCTTTTTCAAGCTCTACTTTCAGTTTCTTTTTCTTTTTGGTCGACTTTGACAATGTAGCAGGTCTTCCGGGCTAATCCTCTTACCATGCTGTTTTGTTTATGAAAGCTATGCATGCGTGTATAGCATGGAATGTGGAACTCCGAACACTTGTTTTTTTAATATATTTATGGTCCCTAAATAATTATTAATTTTAATGAAATAATCAAAATTATCTAATTATGAAACTTGTAATTCTCCGAAGGTATATACGTTTACGAGTAGTAAATAAATTCCAAATCCAATCGGAACATGCTATCAAGTCTTTTTTATGAGATGCGCCGTACTGTCAGTTTAAATTTTGTTTGTTTGTTTTGGCGTTGACATTTATTTTTCTGGCTGTCTATTCGCTTTGAAACGCGATTGAAGAGACTTTTCAAGAACACACAGGAAATCAAGAAGTGAATTTTCGGGAACAATATTCAGCAAATATTTGGATGGCTGTTCGTGTGACATAAAGGTCACTTCTCATGACGTAAAATAACTTAAAAAGTATACTTATTACCTTGTTCATCAGTGTACATGAATGCCATCATGAAATGAATGGGCATACATGAATATTGGTATGACAATGCAATACGCTAGTTTGAATGTACCACTGTACTAGTATTTAATTTTGTCATCACTTTTACGTACCGTATTCGATGATCGGCCACATAGAAATTTGATTTAGCACGTTAGAAAAAAAATTACTTGAGTTATTTGTATATTCATGTTCCAAGGATCCTAATCAATCTGATCAAAGTCTTAGCATGAAAATAATTACTCAGCAGTCGAACGTGTTCCTTAGGTTATTAAATTACGCTCATGTCAACCATTAACAAAATTAACATTTTGAGACACCTTAGATCGGCATTGAATTTCCAGAAAGTTTATGTAAGTAGAACTATGATATTTTTTTTTTTTTTAAAAAGGGCCTACTTATAAAGATTGTTTTAATCAGAATTCTATTAACTATCTTAGCTCAGTGCTTTTCGGTACTGTCAGTTCTTTGATTCAATGTATGCACACATGTTATATATTTTAGACATACATGTATGCTATTTTCTTCAAAGACCTCTTTTTAAATGTGCCGAAAATATGACACATAGGTGGGTGTATTGTTACATGTACTTGAGATATTATTAAAACACGAAAAAAACTACCCAGTATAGACATATGCATTTCTTACATTCAATAAAAATACATGTACACATATATGTTTGCTAGATGATGAGCATTATTTCTAGCTTTCAAAAGAATGATTGGTTTTTTTCAATGAAGTTTAACTACGATTTGATTCTCGTCCTAAATGACTAAAATGAATAAAGAAATAGAATCTCTCCAAGACATTCCAGATATTTTAACCTTTTGGGAAGAATTTAATAATCTTTTATGAATCGTTTTTCTATCTTCTAAATTTTGTCCTTCACGCTATGCAAAATTTAATGATTTTAAAAACCACTGTGCACTTTTTCTATAAACAAATTTAAATGTCTTTTTTGATACCCGATTTGACACATTTACCGAGTTTTTTATAACTCGAACGTGTATTTCATCATAATATAGCACTCAATTTACATTTACATAAAAACCTTTTTTCTTTAGATATTGAAATTTTTTTTCTCTACGATATAGATTTTATTTTGTCTGTTTCTTTTCAAAATCATGTTTCTCAACATTCATTTTGATTCTTTATTTCAAGACTGTACATTTGATAAATTACCTATGACATTACATCATAACAGGTTGTTAGATGCAGCAGGTGTCCTATATTCCTTGTCCCCATGTTTACATGTTAAATAATACGTCGAAGTAGACCTTTTAAATATAACTCGAGAAGACGCCATTTTTTCCACCGCTAATTAACATAAAGAATGCCATGTAATCTTAGGTTACAGGAAAGCCAAATCATTTTTTCCCCATTATTCTACACTGAAAAAGGAAAACGTGCAGATACTTGAAAACGATTTTCTTGAGGTATATTTATAACATTATAATACTCATTTTCATCAGGCAAACTTTAAAATAATATTTGTTTGCCCTCATTTTAACGACAGAACATTCTACATGTATCAGTATAGTATCATATCCATCGCTTGTGTTTAGATACATAAATGGATAGAAATAACCTCTCACAAACCATCGATTTATCATAAAGCTTGGTTGTTAGATTACAATTAACGTGTCTTTCAAGTAAAATATCCAAACATAAAACAGATGTGTCAGACTCTGTGGTATCTTTTATCTCAAGCTCACCGGGATATATCATATCGACATAAGAATAGAAATAACCATTGTTAATTGACAATACGTCGTTGATATATCTAAATGTCGAGTTGAAGACCACAGCATGCGTTTTCTTCTTCTCATGTATAAGATTTTGGACTATTTCTGCTTCATATGAATACAAAAAAAGGTCTGCTAATAACGGGGCTCAATTGGTACCCATGGGAATTCCAGTAGATTGTTGGAACACCTGGTCTCCAAAAACTACATAGATATTTTCAATCAGAAACTCAAGCATCTTTTTAATGTCAACTTCAGAGTAAACGAAAACAAATATAATTTAATTTCATTTTCTTTTTTTCTATGTTAGGGGTTAAAAGCAGCTAAATATTTTTTTTTATTATTAGAAAAAATACTATATGCTTTTTCCTAATGCATGGGACTGCTTTAAAACCAAATAACGACAAAAATTTTATTAATTAGTTTAAGCATCGGGATAAAGATACCTTTTATAACTCGATACGTATACGGATACGTCAGATAGAACAATCTCTATTACCAGCAGGAAAAAAAAATAATTTACTTATTATAGGTCGAAGAATTTTTTTATTGAAAAATAACAGTAAGCGTTGAAAGAACGAATAAACAAAGCATATCACAGATAGATTATCGTGTAAATTTCCTTATTTGAACATGGCTTTATTTTTATGTGTTAATCTTCTAGCATGAAATAAAATTTACCCAACTTCATACAAAAATGCGCTGAGAAGAACAAGAATACATTTGAAGTATGTCTGCTTGACTTTAACTTGGTCACTTCTATTAAATTTTCATAACACATATATTATGTCAGGTTTTGGCGACACTTTTACTCCATTGAATTTTAAAAATAATTTCATTTAATTTTTAGAAAAGTTTACTTATTGTGAGTATGATTATTTGTGGTCTTCCAATTCTGAAAAAATATATTTCTTTATTCCTTCTGTAAACCCTTGATCAAACACCATGCCTCAATACATATATGCCTGCGCAGCTATGTTAAGGCTTCCCGAAGCTTTAAAATGCGCTCAAAACATAATATGTCATTGCGAGGCCGGTTTTGGTTTTAATTTATAAGTATTGAACTTTAGTACTTCCAATTTATATAAAGGGTTTCCTCGGCTATATATTAGCATATTTGTTATGATATCACATGACTTTGTTGATCACGTGACGGTCATTTATAATTTTTTGAAGTGTTTCTTATAAATCGCTTCGGCGCAGCTGATTAACTCAATAATTATTAACATTTTGTTATATAAATAAACTCATCGTATCCTTGTGTATCCGAAATGTGCTTGGGAAAAGTCATGGTATTACTTGGGTACAAAATATTTCCTGAGAAATTCAACTTACCTACAAATTTGAGGGTATTTTCCACACAATATCGTAATCTGTATTAAAACAAAGCCAACACACATTTTTCCCAAGCAAGATTCAGTTAGAGAACAACCTCTTCTTACATATTTCCACAAAAATTCTCAGATTAATCCTCATTAATCACCTGCGCCAGACTCTTTTATACACACAAAATAAATTCTACCTCCAACCACGGGTATAAAACAGAGTACATTTCAAAAGTATATTTTTCATAAGCATTTTGAACATGCTGAATTTCAATCAAGGGTAGGTAAGCGGTGTATTTTTAAAATATTCGGACATATAAGACTTAAAAAACCTTTAACGACCCGTGAATTTTGCAATAGCTATCTAGCATTTTACATGCAGTTTGAAATAAAGTGTAAAGTTCATGACACTCTCCCCGTCATAACACCTCAAGTTTGCAGTGACCTGACGTCATTATCCATTATGACGTCATATTTTGGTAGTTCAGAGATGTGAAGGCACAGTGTGCACTGTCATATTCTACGGGAAGCCTTAACCTACCTGCGTGATCATAGCTTTGCTGTTCTTAGAAAAATAGTATTTTAAAGATTTTATCTAATATATATTCCAATAATCTAAATATCACATACTGTGGTCTGATCCTTTTCCCCAAATCCCATGATTTTAAATGCTTCAATTTTAATAAATATATTTATGACAAACTCATATGAAACAAAACATGTTTGTGAAATACTGATACCCCCGTATGGCAACTGATAGCGAAGGTTAAACTTTCTCAAATGCAAATCAAATATTTTGATATCAAAAGTAAGTTCTTGTCTCGAGGAATAGACATGTGAAATATGAAAGCCCTGGCAGCAACCATTGAAAAAATATGGAAAAGCTTAAAATTTTTTGTACAAAAGTAAGTTAAACGACAAGATCTAGCTCTAATGGTAAAAAATAATGGTGCCCAAAGAAAGGCCTTCTCACAGGAAATACAGATGTGAAATATGAAAGCCCTAGCACCAACCGTTCAAAAGTTATGTTCAAGGTTAAAGGTTTTCAATTGTTGGCCAAACTCCAAGGTCAAGATCAAAGGGTCAACGATGTTGGTATCCAAGTAAGATCGTGTCACAAGAATTATACATGTGAAGTATGAAAGCCCTGGCACCAACTATGCAAAAGAAATGACCAAGGTTAATGTTTTCCAAAAGTAGGTCAATCTCCAAAATCAAGGTAAATAGGCTATAATTGTTGGAATCCGAAGTAAGGTTTTGTCATAAGGAATAAGCATGTAAAGTATGAAATCCTTAGCACCAACTGTACACAAGACATGGCCAAGGTTATAGTTTTTCAAAGGTAGGTCAAATTCAAAGAACAAGGACAAAGGATCAAAATTGTTGGTATCCAAAGAAAGAACTTTTCACAAGAATTGCATATGTGAAGTAAGAAAGCCTTAGCACAAACCGTTCAAAAGTTATCGTCAAGGTTAAAGTTTTTCAAAAGTAGATCAAACTCCTAGGTCAGGGTCAAAGTGTCAAAGTTGTTGGTATCCAAATGAATTTGTGTCACAAGGATTAAACATGTGAAGTATGAAAGCTATAGCTCCAATTGTTCAAAAGTTATGCCAAAGGTTAAAGTTTGGGTAAATTTTTGTAAAACTGGGTCAAACTTCAAGGTCAAATGGTCTCATGTGACGGTTTTTCAAAGAAAGGTCTTGTCACAAAGAATACACGTATGAAATATGAAAGCCATAGCTTCAACCAATCAAAAGTTATGGGCAACGTTAAAGTTTTTGCGGACGGACAAACAGACAGCTAAAAAGACAAACAGACGGACAAGGCAAAAACTATATGCCCCAGAATCTTCGATAAGCAATATACCTTTGTACTGACTATTATTTTCTTGATATAATGATATTCCGTCAAGGAAGAATCAATATATATTACAAACCTTTATTGAAAAAAAAAATCTCTCAAGATCAACAAAGTTACAAATTGTTAATATGTTACATGTACTAGGATTGTCCGTTAAAAACGTGGAAAGCTTGTCTAGAATAAAAAATAATCAACAATGCTTTATAAAATTTTCAAAACATTTTAGTACATTTCTCATCATAATACAGAGCAAATTTCTCATGGCTTTAGGATCAAATAGGCAAATAATTGGATTTTTTTGTAATGTGTGGTAACACCTCACTGCGACAGATGATAATGTCAGTATATCTATTTCTTTATACGACATTGCTACTAGGAAAGCAGCTACGATCTTGAAGACAGTCCAGATGAAGCCCTGAATTTTTTTTTTTTTTTTTTTTTTTTTTTTTTTTTTTGATATAGTACCTTAATAAATAAAATTGGGTATGAATATTGTTTACAAAATTAAAATATACTTAAATATATAGAGCAATTTCTAGCAATTTCTACTGAATGTCTCAATTCATTGGTAAAAACTCGTTGTCTACGATATAAACGGACAGTCCAAATTTATATATATATTATTTTGGAATGAATACAATTTTCACATGGTTCATTTGCATTAAAAATGTACTTGAACGTAAAAAATAACATATTAAAAATGTCAAACCACGTAAATGAAATCATAGGAGAAAATGATAGCGTTTTATGTTCATTTACACGTTAAGCTATCTCACAAGTATGGTAGACGTCAGTTGCAGCATAAAGCAAAACTAGTTTATTTAGCACACATATCCGATTTTTTTTGTCACAACTTTCTTTCTTCAATGTTTTAGAAATTGGATCGATATCCAAATAACGTAAGGCTATCTTTTACATTTTTGTTCTCTTCCCCCCCCCCCCCCCAAAAAAAAATGCTACAGAATTTGGATTCGAGATAGTGTTAGATAATTTTCAGCAGTACTTAAATAATGAGATAGTTTTGTTTTATATAGAATGGCAGGGGAATGTACATAAAACCTTCATAAAGACTTATATATGTATCAATTAACAAATCATATATATCAAAATATATATCTCAAATACATTGATGTTTTAATACAAAAAAAGGTTAATACAGAAATATATTCTTATTAATGTAATATTTTTTTCTTGTATTTATATCTCATGCAAAAGTATATTGTTTAGATAAGACGTCCTTATTTAAACTTTATTTTCCTTGCACAAAAGTTAACATTATTGGAATTCCTCTACAGCTATTTTGATGTCGTTTCCTGAAAGTAAATGATGCTGATGAAGATCTTTCTGTAGAATTATATGCATAGTAGACTTACATATTTTAGCGGTCATCATATATTAACCTTTCGCTACAAGCATTGTCCAGTTATTCAAGGACACGCAAAACTTTTAAATAAAAAAACATGCAATTTTTTTCGCTCAGTGTGAGCTTATCAATGATTACATTAATCATTAAATGAGGAAGAAACTGTAAGGGGCTTAATCTTGAAGATTTACTGTATATCATCTGGAACTTTTTTCATTGCGCCATTAGAATAGTTTGCAGGTTCATACTGTTAGAAAACATAAAAATTCATTACGCGTATTAGTGATCCACTTACAATGATAAGCTATATGCTTACCTTTGAACTCAGAAGATTCTGAAAAAAAAAAATTAAAACTCTCAATAACAGTAGTGTCGACCATCTATGTATTAAGTCAAAAAGGGATCATGATTTACAATTTTTTTAAATTGTAAATTGTTTTTATGATTTGTTTTAATTCGTTATAAGTCATCGACTTTTTCTCTTTTTTTTTATTTAATCGCTTTGAAAAGGCTTTATTTCCATATCTCGTGCTTATAATTAAAGATTCCATGGTTCTTTATTTAAGAAATAAACAACGTTATCCAGTGAACATGGCGTTATGAATAGCAATTGCTCTGTCAATGATGCGCGCTAGCGCATCATGGGATATATATATGCCAACAGAGCAATTGCTATTCATAACGCCATGTTCACTTAATAATCGTTGTTTATTACTTATATTCTGTGATGTCAAGAATATCGAATAAATCAAGTAAATTAGTGCACAGGTGCTTGTCTCCGGTGAAGAAAAACTTGATAATAAAATCAGTAAACCTGATTGATAATTAATCCACTTGATGTCCAATAGATCACATAAAGTATATATGGTATTTGCTTATTATTTTCACGGTTATCTGGATACAAAAACGCTCCGTCTTAAAATTCTCGTAAATTTTTATTTTGATGGTGCTTTGACGCTCATGACGTCATTGTCGTTTGAACTCTCTTGGAAAATTATTAATGACAATATTGTGAAAAAAGAGAGTGTTGATTAATATTGTGTTCTTTAAAGAATCTTTTTTTTTATGTTTCGTAAGTTTTTAAAATTCTTTGTGAGAGTTAAAATCATTCTTGAAATTGATATAGTATTACAGAAATTTCGCTTTGTCTGAATGTAAAAAAAACGTAAATAGTTATCGTTCTTTGTACCTATATGTGTTAAAATGAACAAATAAATTAAAGATATAGAGCTATATTTAATTTGTAGAAAGATTTATTATACAATTGAACACGTTGACTAATATTAATTAAAAAAAAAAATACACACCAATCAGGAATTTTAATCGTTTATAGACTTCTTTTTTCCCGGAGGATTTCTTAAAAAACAAAAATTTATTCCTTTCGCACAAAATGTCATATATATACTTCTGAATGTGTTATATAAGTTGAGTAGCTTGCACTGCGCCAGTGAAAGAAACGAACTGCACTTATAGCAGAAGTTGCGTTCATGGTGCTATAAATGCAACTGGTAAGTGCAGATTCATAGTAGGAGAAAACAGAGAGTATGCAAATATTCAGTTCCTCAATCATATTCTTCATTTCCCTTTTAACTTCTTTCATTTCGTCTTTCAAAGATTCCACCTGCTAAAATTGATTAATAATGATTTTCTTTAAATTTATATTTGAAACAACAAAAACAAGTACTTATCAATTAAAAATTATTTATCTTCACGAAACTGCAAATAAATTGATTCAAAGATGTAGCATGTAATAAACCTCTCCAACACAACCAAATGCAGTTTAATACTTCAATAATATCGAAGCTGTGGAATATTTTTCTTTTTAAATTTATTTATTATAATTTTTAGAAAGGATTTTTTTTTACCTCGGGAAAATGATCAGTGTCAATCTCTAATTTCCTACAAAAATGAATTTTATTATAAGAAAAGAAGAAAGCGAAAGCTCACCCCTCAGGAATATTGCTAAAAAAAAAAACTGTCATTATGCGTAATACAGTAAAAGAAATCGATCATTCAATAAAATCCTCACTATAATGAAATAACTTTTCATAAAACATAAAGTACTAGTATTCATCTACAATATATAATCCAAAATAAAAAATATGATAATTTTTGACAAACACGGGAAAATGATGTTATACACGCGATGTATGCAGATCTGACATTTCATTTTTTAAAGATCTCAAAAGATATTTAAAGTGTAGGATTCATGTCCAAATATATTGAAAAATGTCTGAGCATATACCAAGTAAAATTTCTGTGATATTTTTTAAGACGAGTCAAAGTAAAAATTACGGTGGGTTTTCAAAAAAAAGTTCGTGGACTAGCGCCTTAAAATTAAAACCGCTTGAGCTATATCAATGAATTTTTGATATTTAGTTAACATCATCCTTTCTATCTATAGAATTTTTTATTAGATTGTTAATGTTTTAGTAAGCTATGGTTTGTCCAGGTGGCGCAGCCTCAAATATGACGTTTTTTTTCTACCTGATTCTAACTGAGAAAAACTCCTTTGATGTGAGCACTTTTCATCATGAGATTCCGTTAATTCTGCTATGTGGAATGACACTTTTGTTCCGTATAAAATGCAATATTTACCCCATTTTGTAAGTTCTATGAAAATTTATCGTAAATTCTTTATGGAGTTTCCATACAATTAAAAGCTTGAAAATGACGTCAAAACGGGAGGGGTGTCTCTTCCACCATTCCGTAAAGTTTCGCACCTGGAAAAACTGGTACAGAATTGGGGAATGTTTAAACGGGCTGCAGAAAAATAAAATGCATCCAGAGTACTTATTTCTATATGCACAAAAAAGATTCAGAGAGATGCACAGTAAATGTCTATTTGTAGTTAAGGTGTCAAAAGTCAATTACGTCAACGAGTGACGTTGACCATTTGTGCTAGAAATTGAACTCCAACAAGCTAAGTATTCTGGCATAATCAAGTGAGGATTTTTCTCTCTATGTATAGATCCATTTACAATATTATGCATTAAAAGCAGCTGTTCATGACATTGTAAATTCATATAATCAAGACGGGCTTCAAACCTAACTTAACACCAGATAATCTCATCAAGATAAGTTTTTCGGGTAGAGAGAGCGGACATTGAGAAACAATAAAGTTGTCGGACGTCATGTAGCTAAACGGCGACAGCGCCGGATGATCATATAATGTCTTTTTTAATTCAGAATAATTTGACAAATAATCAGCTTATCAAGTTAAAATTTTCAACATTTCTTAAACGTTTGTTGTTTTATGTTCCTTATAAATTGTGTATGAACAAACTATATAGTAGTAATTTCATTGCGTCAGCCCATGAACTTTTTATAACCCCTCGTATATAATTATAATTTTGCATATTGTTATCAATTAAAATTAATAAATGTTGTCATTTACTTGGTTAGGCATCTTCTACAGTATTCACAAAAATATTTGAGCGACTTCTTTCTTCTTCAGAATATACTTTCATCATGAGTGTTTACTAAACAGCGTCTCCATATCAGTAAAAAAAAAAACAAACAAACAAACATAAGCTTCTGTTCTTTCAAGCTCTATTGTAGAAATGTTATGCCCAAATGTTCACCATTTGCAGATTTTTGTCTTCGCATGTATGTTCGTTATTGTAAGAATTGATTTCCTTTGATACAAATATATTTTTCTTGTTTTTACTTTGTTTTAACAAAATAATTCTTATCCTTGTGTATTGAGCAGACCATAAATTACATAGTTGATACAACATAAACAACAAAAACCAAGTAAAATTTTGAAACAGAAATATACAAAGACTTTGTAGCATTAGTGTGAATATATAATTGAAACTTAATTTGTCTATAATATTGTTCTTTATATCATATTCATAGAAAAATTCTAAATGCTATGTGTACTTGTATCATTTTTTTAGTCTTAAAGACACTTTTGTTTTATCTGAATTACTTTTGACGATAAACACACGCCAATACCCTTGCATTTCCAGAATCCCGTTCTTCTCTGCCTCCTCGGTGTCTTTCTGTATGATATCATATTTCTCATCGTACAGAAGCACTAAATAGATGTATGTAAACAATAAAATAATAGTATTACTCATTGCCTGACATAGACAGCATTATCTCAACAATGTTCCATCATGCCATATATTTAACGAGAGATGTAAATATAGACCGTCAGCAGGTATCTTTTTATTGGAATATTATAATAAACAATCTTGTATAAAGGACCTTCTACATATCCAGATAGCTTATGTTTGGAACCAGTTTATCATATAATTACCTCTCTCATACGCTGGCTGCCCTTTCATGTTCGTCACACATTTCAAAAACGTGAATATGACAAGGTGGATAACAAAGGCGGCAGCTGAAAGAAGCTTAAAATGGATTGGGAAGATATTTCTGATGGTGTATTCCTCAAGGAAGTTCGACTGTAACTGTGACCAATGCATGCGAGAATTTTCATGCACCATTGCAGCAGTGTAACTGAAAAAAGTTAGTAAATGTATTTACTAAATGGACGAAAAGTTACTTAATTTATCATTGATATATCATGTTGAAATTCTTGATACAAGAATAACGATTAACATATTGAGGAATTGAGTTTTTATAATTGTTCAGTAGAGTGTTCTCTATTTATAAAGCTAGGTGCTACACATCTTCACCAAAATTGCAAACCTTGATACAACTCGATACTTCAAATAATTTTCTTTAAATTAAATTTTACACAGAATACTTTTGATGAAAATGATTTCAGGGATCATTATTAATTAGATAAATAAAAAGTTTACTTAGTATTACCCTACGGTAATGATAGAAGGCATTTGAAAGAATGAATTGATTATAGCCTAATCTCAATAAAAATGATAAATAAGATGAATGAGGCTATCCAACCTGTATATAGCAATGAGTAAGTTAAGCAACATAACAACAGCTATCAAGCAGTAAACGGCTCTCAGATAAGGCGATATTGCGCTGCCAAGGGAAGTAGGGCATATCTCCTGTAAACCAGCTTTGTATACATACCTTAAATACATATAAACATTGATTGATACAAGCCAGTCATACTCGTTTGAGTTTTTCTTTTGAGTATTTGTGAACGTAATTAGTAGATACGGAAACTTTGTTAACGACACCCTTATCGAAAATCCCTTTTATGAATCTAGTATAAAACCTTTAATTTCACTTCGTTCCCTTCACAGAAAGAAAGAATTCTGGTTATTAGGAAACTCATTTGAAATCTGTGAAATAACATTATAATTTAAAGAAATCTGAAGTGAAAACTGATACGGAATAAATATAGGGAAAATAAATTCTTAAAGACCTCTCTCTTCTCTCTATCTCTCTCTCTCACCGACATCGTCAACAAAGTCTCCATATAAAGTCCAGTATCCATTCTTGATAATACTTTCTACTTCTGCCCAGCTACACTCAGTGTTTGGAAATGGAAGAGGGTAATCCACCACATTGTAGCACATCATGATCACAAGCACGATGGCCATGAATGCTACTGTATTTCCGAACTAATGTAAAAGAAGTATATTTTTTCTGAACAGGAAAATAATAGAATGAAACGTTATTAAACTTTAAAATAACTATATATATCCAAAAAAGAAATAAAAATTATAATAATAATTAAAAAAAAAACCGATTCGCATAACCCAGAACATGTCTGAATTACAAAACTCAAATCTACACATAGTACTTTATATGTTAGGGCAAATCATTTTTTAAGAATCAATATGAAAAACCTAGCATTTTCTGGATGATAACTAGTTGAGTTCCGAGAAATTCAGATGTCCAAAACATATTGAGAATTCGAATATTTATCGTAACGTAAGCCTATATGTACAGCAATTTTGCAGCACCCTCCATCAAGTCATCGTCAAACAATTTCAAGATGGCACCTAACGTACAACTAATAATGATTAGCCAATCCAAATGGTTCCACGTATCTGCCAAATACATTTTTACTGCGTCAGGTATCTTTTTCCTTCTTTTAATGGCCACAATAACCTGAAAGTTAAAACAATGATATGTAAAAGAAATTAATGCGACACGAACAAGAAAATCATCAGAATGATTTCAGAAGTTTTTCTAACCAGATATACTCATAAATATCATTCATTTTTGATGATAATTTTCGGAAATTATATATTTTGATTTTTTGGAGTAAAGAACAGAAATTTTAAGATTGGAATTTAGTCTTAAGTTGTCAGATTGCTCTTGGGATAATGAAATTGAAAAGGCATATTTCTTTACAGAACTAAAACAAGATGTGTTTGTGAAACACTATGCCCCCGTATGGTAGCTTATGTCGAAGGTTAAAGTTTCTCAAATGCAAGTCAAAATCCAGGCCAAAAGATAAAAAAAATGTTGATACCCAAAGAAAGATCTTGTCTCGAGGAAAACACCTGTGAAATTTGAAAGACCTAGATACAACTGTTTAAAAGTTATGGTGAAGGTTAAAGTTTTTTAAATAAAAGTCAAACGTCAAGGTCAAGGTCAAAGTGGTTGGTATCCAAAGGAAGATCTCGTCACAAGGATTACATATGTGAAGTATGAAGGCCCTAGCACCAACCATTCAAAAGTTATGGCCAAGGTTAAAGTTTTTCAAAAGTAGGTCAAACTCCTAGGTCAAGGTCAAAGGGTCAAAGTGGTTGGTATACAAAGGAAGGTCTTGTAACAAGGATTACATATGTGAAGTATGAAAGCCCTAGCATCAACCATTCAAAAGTTATGGCCAAGGTTAAAGTTTTTCAAAAGTAGGTCAAACTCCTAGGTCAAGGTCAAAAGGTCAAAGTCGTTGGTATTCAAAGGAAGGTCTTGTCACAAGGATTACATATGTGAAGTATGAAAGCCCTAGCTCCAACCATTCAAAAGTTATGGCCAAGGTTAAAGTTTTTCAAAAGTAGGTCAAACTCCTAGGTCAAGGTCAAAAGGGTCAAAGTGGTTGATATCCAGAGGAAGGTCTTGTCACAGGGAATACCAGTGTGAAGTTTGAAACGCTAAGTACCAACTGTTCAAAAGTTATGGCCAAGGTTAAAGTTTTTCAAAAGTAGGTCAAAGTCCAAGGTCAAGGTCAAAAGGTCAAAGTGGTTGGTATCCAAAAGAAGGCCTTGTCACAAAGAATACACATGTGAAGTTTGAAACCCCAAGCTCCAACTGTTCAGAAGTTATGGCCAAGGTTAAAGTCTCATAAAATTTTGCAAAAGTGGGTCAAACTCCAAGGTCAAGGTCAAAAGGTCAAATATGATGGTACCCAAAGAAAGGTCTTGTCACAAGGAATACACATGTGAAATATGAAAGTCATAGCTCCAACCAATCAAAAGTTATGGGCAAGGTTAAAGTTGACAACAGACAGACAGACAAACAGACAAACAAACAGACAAACAGACAGACAGGGCAAAAACAATATACCCCCGGAATCTTTAGATCCGGGGGCATAATAATCTCAGATGCCTTTAGCTAAAATAAAGGTTCATATTACAGTTCACACGAATTTCATTCTACAATAGCTTATGTAGTAAACTCTACTCATTTAAGAGAACTGGAATTTACGATAATGTTTACTAAAATATATTTTATGTTAGAGATTTCGAGATATAATCGATATATTTCTTGTATAACATGACATTACAAAGATTCAGGAACCACCATTCAGCCATGTAATCCACAAACCTGTTCTAATTCGTCAACAAATTTACAAGCTACCCAGAAAAGTATAGCTAACTCAGAACTTGAAACTGTTTCTTCGCTGTAATCAAACGACAGCATGTATGCAAACGCAGCAAGGAAAAAGAAAACTCCAACCTAGTAAAATAGAACAATGGAATTAAAAAATGCTAGCAATTCAGTGTTTTGATCAGTATAAACATCGCTCTTACCATATTTATCCATAACTTCAGAATTTGAGTATGATATTTCTTGTAGAATCTATTACAGAAAATGATCATTACTGAGATTAAGTAACATTCATTTCATGCAAAAATGTAAATAATCATTATGGAGAGAGCAAAATGACAAGTGATTTTTACGCTCATTCAGTAATCACATAGTACCAAAAGCAATCAAGACCTACCATGTTAAAGGTGGTTTGTCGAGGTTGACCATCAGAAGGGGCATGATGAAAATATGGAGCACAAAATGAATGAAAGTTGTTATCATCTGCAAAATTAAGTTTTCGAACAAAGACTGATATAAAACACTTTATTTTCGTGCAATTTTTCTTCAACAGAAAAATAACAAGATGAAATCAATAAAACCTTAAGGAACGTATAAGTCTTTTCCTCTTTGTTGTATAAATTTATCCACGAAAATACAATAATCTTTTCATAATTTGTTTATGCATAATATATGCACAAAATAACAAAAAACAAAAATTTAGGGAAAAAACAACAACTTATTAATTAAATAAAGAAAGTTAACTATATACCGCCCAAGGACCTCCTTTTTCTCATATCCCTTTCCATTCCATAACTCTTTTATGATTGTCATCAGCTTTGAATTTTCTAAAAACCACTCATTCTATGTCTTGTATGCAACATCTAAGTAACCATGATTTAAAAGTAATCTTCCTGCGTTATTGACGTCATCTTTCTTCTTAAAAATAAACGTCATCACTCTGTCTGACACACTTGTCGACTCAATTGGTTTGTCTCTCTCGTCTTTCTCGTGAATATAGTTCATGATGCTAAGCGCATGCCGAAAGAACATCCTGAAAGAGCATGCCATTAAGTTGTAAGTTCTTTCCAAGTATCCCTTATACGTGTCACTACAATGCATATTTTTAAGTACACATTGAAATTAGCGTAGAAACATTCTATTCTAATATATTTATTTTGTTTACCTTCTTAATCTACCTAATTCTTTCTCTTCTAAAATTCCTACTTTCCAGTCTTCGCTAAAGTCCTTCAAAATCTTGCAACCATTTAAAATTGGTCGTATACCCACCTGTTAAGAAAGACGTTAATTAACTTAAAACGTAATCAGGATGCAAAAACGTTTGTCTTTGAAAAGGTGATCAGCACTCAACTGATATAGAATGAATGTCCCATGAAAAATATTTATAGGTGACCTTTATAAATTCTGAAAAATTATGATTTGTTATGAGTCATACACATCCTGTTTCCAATATTTGTCTTGCTCCATCTAGTCGTTTTGTTTTTAGCAGGGCGTAAAACACATGGTCCAACATACTGCAGTCTTTGCCTAATTCCAACTTGTTATCCTCTTTAAAAGTCAAAAAGATGCTGCGCTTAGGAGTTAAAAAACATATTTTTATATATCTTTGCTGAAAACTCTATCCACCATTTAGTCAATGCAGACATGTGTTTAAAGATACCTGGCCTTTTACAGTAAAGACAGATAATTAAGAAAAGCTACAATTGCATCCCGAAACATAATTACAAAGATCCCTTAAACTGTTTAGAACAATCTTTATTCATTTTGATAAATGCATATATTAAATTATGTATAGTAAAATTAAGTACTCGGAAACTTGAACATGAATTATTAAATTATAATTACCTAGTATCTTGATAATGATATGTGTTTTCAGTAACTATAAGTTAAAGGGGATAGATTACTAGTAAAGTTTGGAGGTTGATACGCAGAATCTCTCGTTTCTTTTAGGTCTTTCCACAATCCAGTTTTAAAGTCTTCTTCTTCCATATTCTACAAATTAAACTTGGTAATATAGACATTCTTGATCTTTAATCAAAGTTTGGTAGAAACACGATGTTAATGGCAAAAAAAATGTATCGAAAGAAACTGTTATTTCATGCTCTCCAATTATATTACGTTACAAATTACTTGCTTAGATAATTGACAATGTGACAACAATCAAACGACAAGATGATAACTACCCATTAATCGATCTTAAATCTTTGGTGAAAAGGGGAATTTAAGTAAAATCTTGTGTACCAATTTTCTGATATCAGTATCTGTGTTCTCAAAATGAAACACTTTTTTTACGATTGAAATTTTAAAACAAATTTTGTCACTTGATCTCTTCTTAACATCAGTTATTTTGTCCTAGTGACGAAAGCAAAAATCTTTATTAAAACACGCCTTTTCAAAGATATACGCTATTGACTTCTGGTTGAATATTTGATCAACTGTTTCCAACACGTATGATCCAGGAAAATTCCATCTTCCAGCTTTCAGTAGCTGCACAGGTAAGGAAACCCAGTCTTTTCTCTGTTGAAAAACGTGAAACAGAATGGGAAAATTGTTGTATTTTTTCGGATACACAATGTACATGTAATTTACAATGTTCTTTACCAATGGTAGTTTTTTCTGATATTCGTAGTTTAAAATCATTGTTAGTACCATCTGATGTTCTTAGACAAAAATATCAGCATACATTACCAGGAGATTAAAGCAGATATCAAATCCTCTTTTTTTTTGTTTGTTTGTTTTTTTAAAAAAACAATAACATATTTCAAGCAGGTATTTCCTCAAAATTTAATTCAGATGAAGAATAGAGCATTAACAGAAATCATAAAATCCCACAAAGTTTTTTCAGTTATTTGATATTTTAAATTACACAGGGATTAAGTAATTAAATGCAAAACTACGTTGCGTATGTCCTTAATCTATGTTAGTCATAAATTCGTGTATCTTTTTTTTTTCCATCGCATCATTGTATTCAAATATATTTAAAATCTTATCTAAATTTTAAAAAAAATGCAATGTAAAAATTATCAATTCTATAATATCAAAAGATTACTTGAAGAAGAAATGTTACCAAGGAATCAAAAACCTTGTTTAGGGGATTGATTGTGCTTGTCCTTCAAATTATGAATAATAACTGAAAAATAAAATTTTTCCTCATTTTAACATGCTATTGAGGAAAAATAAAAAGATGAAAAATTCTAAAGCCATGAAATTCTTAAATAAACAATAGTTTGATAGCTGTTATCTACATGAAACAGTAGAGAGTGCAGCTTGAAAACTTACATAAATGTATCAAAGCACATAATTTTGCTCGAGAAACAAGAAAAAATATACAGAAGGAAATAGAGCTCACCAGAATAGGCTTTCTGGAGAATTAATGTACAGATTTCAGGGGATTGATCACAGTTTGTTTACTTCACCTTTTCCGCATTTATCAATAAATTAAATCTTATTTCCTGCTTTTACAATATTTTTTTATGTCAGGGAGTATCCGTAGTTCAAAAATTGAGTTGAAAGCTACTGTATGGAACTGAAACCTTTAAAATTCTATAATATTTATATTTAGATCTAGGTTTAAATGGTATATACCTATTAAGACACTTTATACGCATAAATTCAAGAAATATTATTTTGTTAGATACACAAATAATCATCTTGTGATGTCAACTGACTTGAATGATTATTTTGTTTCATGCTTTGAACGCTTCTCATTTCAGGAAATCATAATGCTCCATATTTTACAGACTATAGATAATGGACAATTAATAACTAATCTGTATGACAAACGGGATGACTTCAGGTTTTCCATCGTTATCTCCCCTTATTTATGCAGTAATATTCTAAAATCACCGCCATAGGATGTTTATGTCTCCTAACTAATTTTTACAATCAACAGTATGTTCCAAGTACGATCAATTTTTAAACCAAATAAGCTGTTTTACTAGAATGTCAATGATCCCGTTTAAAGTAAGTTTTTCTCAACTTCTACGGTCGTTATAAAGACTCTTTTTTCGTAAATACTACATATCGTTCTGTCGTATTTTGTCTATATTCTGTTAGGTCTTTGCTTTTATACTGCATTTAACTTCGGCGTACCTGATCAATAAACGGGGGGGGGGGGGGGGTCACGATAGGTGTTACCAATCAGCAGGGGATAATCATTCCTCCTAGGCCCAGATCTATTCTCTGATTTTTCCAGGGGTCCATGTATTTGATTGTTCAGGATTCGTTTTGCTTACTGGATTGATGACATTGCTCACTGATCGTCATCTGTGCCTTTTACATTTTATAGCAGAAAGGAGAAGCGGGAAACGTACGATAATTTACAGAAAGGATCAGTTAAATGCGTAAATGGATAAAAGGTGAATGTTTCTCTAAACAAAAAAAAAATATTTCCACTAAAAAAGATTAATATCTTCTTTTTTATTCTTCTTTAAAGTGCATTTTTATTCACGTTGATAGAAATAAACGGGTTTTTTTTTTGGTGTTTGTACTGTGTGTTTAAACTCAGTTCATGCAGCACTTTCTTTTAACACCCAGTTGTACGTTAAATATACATCTACAAGAACAATAATATACCGCCTGTCAATTATAAAAAAAAAAAATAGCTACTGATTTGATTGACAGGCCAGCTACCTGTGTTACCTGAAAATCTGAGTTTGCATGTTTTTAGAAAAAACACCTCGTCAATCGTCAACGCTTTCATGCACCGCGTGTTTAGTCACTTTGTATATGTAAACTCTGGTATATTAAAGCAAATCGCCTTAATATTGGTTGATAATTAAATTTCTAGATTAACTTAGAGAAGATAATTAAAAATTGAGTACTTGAAATAATTTTCCAAAGACAGACTTCTTGTGTTGTGCAATGTGTATATGGATTTCTGACATCTTGAGTATTAGGGTTCTCAAGGTTAATAACATAAGTACTACCAAGACCATCCCCCCTCTTCAGGTTACCGAACGGTAAAATATTGGGTCAGCTTGCTCTTCGTAAGCACCTTGCTATTCTTAGTAAAATGTCCATGCGCTTTTTTATTTTTGAAATTTTAAATATTGGTTGCAGTGTTTCTCTAACCACCACTCTCCCCTCCATATTTTAATTGTATATATACTTTTTCTGGTAGACAGATGACGCCTCGTTTTGACATTTTTTTGTAAACATGCACATGTACATAATTTTAATTTTATGATATGTTACACATGTATACAATTTCACAATTACTGTAAACCAATTATTATTATACGCAACATCTTTTATTCTGATTTGTGAGTTTCTATCCATCCGCAATGATTTATTTTTCGCGGCTAAGAAGACGTTCTACACAAAAACGAAATATAAAGTAATGGTTTGTGGCGATAATTATTTTGCGAAAGAAGATTGCGTAACTCGCGATATTTCTCGCACGCGAATTAGTTTTAAAATAGTACGCCTCAGGGACACTATCTTTATTGTATTTTTAACTCAATTACATCTTTTGTCAACAG